CTAAAAAATTATAATCGTTACGGTCCCTGTTCAAAATAATCCAGATGCAGCTTGTAACATTAAAAAAAAACCATCATTTGGGCGTAGACACTTCATTTTTGGTCACTTTTTAGAACGAGCTAACGGTACTCTAACTTTAAAAAATTATTGCTTACGCTCAAAATATGTGAAAATTACAGGGTTTTTATATGCTAGTCCTAAACAGGCGTACAAATTATTTTTGGGTCATCGATAGAGGAGGCTGCTAGTAACTTAACTATATAAATTTGAAATTTCTAGCTATTATACTTTAGGTTTCCGGTTTGCCACGCGCCCTGTGGGCGGACATACATATATCCGTGGAAGCTTTTTGGTCTTGGGTGGTCAGCCCGAATATATATACAAAATTTGAGGTCTCTGGCATCAATAGTGTCCAAGATATAGCAGAATTTAAAAAATCACTATATCCTCAGTTCCGAATTGCCACGCCCCTAATGGGCGTAGACATATTTACAATTTTATTATTAGACTTTATAGAATCATAACATTAGCTTACGCGCAGAACTTCAGGGTTCTAGCTGTAAAACTCCTAGAGATACAGTTTTATCCGATTTGCCACGCCCCCAATGGGCTTAGATATTTCCGCCATAGTTCGTGATCTTTGGTGGTCGCCGCGGATCTACATTCCAAATTTCAGTACTCTAGCTCTTCAACTAATATGATTACTGGCATATCGGAAAATGCATTTTCGGGAAAATTAAAAATTATAAATCGGAGATATACCAGAGTATGTGTTCCAAATTTAAAGTCTCTAGCTTCAATAGCGCCGAAAAAATTGCGTTCATACGGACAGACGGTTGCATTGCCGATCGCTGCGATTTGCGCGGGTCCCTTTTATTGACTTTGATTTTATGTGAGGCGGTTCGATGAGCCGCCTTACATCCCCCTTACTTATTAGAGAGATGGTCACGCTCCCCGAGGCCGCGACCGTCACGTTGACCGTGGCACCCTCGCTCCCGACGCGGAAGCGTGTCCTCCTGCGCGGTAGTCGCCGTCCTTCTAGCTCCCGTTGTACTGCCTGGACCACCTGTTCGCCCAGTGAAGTGCTGCGGGATGTATTATAAACGATCCCACCTTGAATTCTGTATTTACATCAATTTTTTTTGTGTTATATGATAATAATATAAACAATTGGCTGGCCCTGGGAGTAAACCATATAAAGATCCTTAGGCTTAAAAACTATATTTAAGATAATTATAGCTTACCTGGATCATTTTGAGTCGAAGACTGGTGCAAATCGATATAGATGGCCATTGCTTTAAATATTGGATACAAATAATATAGAGAGATCTTTATAGATCTAACGTATATCTGACAAGATCAACTGATTGTTTTCTATATACYGCGCATTGAATGAAATATTCTTATTGAATTTTAAAATTAAATTAATTAATTAAAATTTTAATTACATCAACACTTGCTGCTTTTTAGCGAACTTAGCTATACAAATTAGTTAAAGAGGATCTGGCTGCGTTTATTTATATATATATGTATAACTAGGTACGATATATTTATGTTATGAAGAAGAATTATATATGGTATTTCGTTTCGACGTTTGTTGACATGCCTAACACCTCCCACTCAGCTGGCCAAAATATGTTTCTGATTTGAAAATTGATGTTGTCACTGCCGCTTCTGCCTTTGGTGTCTGATGCTTTTCGTGTTGTTTACGGCTCTGGCGGGTGCTTTTTCCGTTTGCGACGTGATTTGCGTTTTTTCTTTCGCTCCTATTTCTTGCTACTCTTACCGCCCTCGTCCTTGCTCTTATCGGACTTTTCATCGGCCTTCTTACTGGCATCCTTATCCTTAGTGTCCTTATTCTCTTTATCCTTGCTATCCTTATTCTTGTCCTTGCCATCACTCTCAATTGACTTCTTTCCCTCCTCAGCATCGCGATTAGCCAGCTTGTTATTAATCAAATTGTGCAGAGCGATTATCGAACGGACCATGGACGCCAAATAGACTACCAGCATCTGATCGTTGGTCTTTACGTACATGGTTCCCGTGAACTGATCGTTGGTTATATCCGGCAGAAGGTTAAATATGTCCTGCAGCTGGTAGACAATCTGATGGTTGATGGGCATCTTGCCTTCTCCGACGCGCTGTAGATACTGTTTTATGTCACGCAATTGCGCATTTAGGCCTTTGAGACCCATTAGCTGGTTGGTGATTTTTTGGGACAGGCTGCCAACGGTGGTGTCCTTAATATCACGCAGCAAATGCTCAACGCCCACTTCTTCAGCCTCCTCGGCACCAATCTCGCTTGGCACATGCTCGAAGGTTTTGGTAGTGGGCGATCCATCGTCATGCACCTCTTCAACGGATATATACGCTTCTGTCGGAAGACCCAGATCTTTTGGCTTGGCGTCTATGATGACCAGTACAGAGTTTGGACAGTAGCGGCGAATCAGCTCGTTAATTGCTATATCATTCTGGTGCAGCTTTGGTCCAGTATGATACCAGCCCACAACGCGCTCGCGTGCGTTCACCTTCTTGAACATGCCATACATGTTCTCCAAATAATCGTGATCCAAAAACCACACTGACTTGTCCTTGTCATCTTCATCAAATGGAACTGGATGGCATTTGGGTGAATTGTACAAATGGCTAAATCATATTTATAAATGAATGTATCACTTACCCGCAAAGCTGTTAGAGACATCTAGTACACCCTTGGAACGCCAGCAACCAAGGAGCACGCCTACGACGCGCTTCTGGTTTCCAATTTTACCCATGCGATTGAAGTGATCCACGACCGACAACAGAACCAGCGGGTGGACAATAACTTTGTTTACGCTAACCTCCAGCGATGGCATTTTGAATTTGTGGCTTGATTTTTAGTGTTGGGGACTTCCTATGCACAGCGTACTATGCTTGTGTTTTCCTTAATATTTACTTGCAGCAATTGCAACTTTTGCTACGGTTAACAATTAAGCGAAATACCGAAATGACAAGCAGATTCTTCTTCTTTCACGTGTGTCTAGAGATGAGTGAATATCGAGTAAGTCGTCCGATATCGTTTGCATTCGTGCTATCGATTAGTTATATACAAGAATAGTTAGAGAGTTAATGGGAATCGATTATTCTAAATACCATTGAAATTAATTTATAAGGTATCAAGATCCTGTGATTCTGTATATTCAAAACAAATTTTACGTATAGATCGAAGTATCGATATATTTGGGTAAGCCTTAAGATTTACTAAATCTAAAATATAAATTTGCTGGATGTACTACGCGTGAATAACAATAGTTATAATAACAAAATTCCTAACAATTGATATGCCGTTATCGTTTCCTCGCGTGAATGTGTAGTTGTGGAGTGCTGTTTCTGTTTGCCCTTGGCGGCACTGCACGTACACAATAGTCGTGCTCTTCTAACACATTGGTGAATCCAAAGGCAATACGCGTTGCCATATCGTCGCTGTGGAATTTCAGAACTGGTCACACTGGTAGTCGTTGCGCGAGAGAAATTGACAAAATATCAAAAGCAATTAGCAGTTTGAGTGCAAAAGTGTTTTATCTACTCGCATAGTTCAGTAATGCCATTTATTTTGCTAGAAGTGATTGTCGTTTGTATAGTGTAGCCAACTGATATGATAAAATGATTGTGGTGCGACGATGAGGTAATTGTTTTCGCTGCCGTTGCTTGCTGCGTTCGTCTACAGTTTCACGCACACACGCACACGCAAGCACACGTCCAGTTTGATGGGCGGCCGCAGCGTAATCATCAATGAGCAACTATAAAACGAGGCTGAGGCTTCGATGCGCGTGTTGTTTACAAATTGTGCATTGCATTTTTTTTTTTAAATTAGGGTGCTTATCACATATGTGTAAAACTGCTGCCTGTTCCGAAAATCTGTTTAATGGAAATAAAGTTAAAAACCTGCTAAGAGCCAAGTAAAACAAGAGCCAAGTCTCAGTCTCAGATTCAGCTCGTAGACATACTCATATTCACACACATGCAAATGCATACGCATACACTGAAGCAATGACATACTCACGCACAAATACATGCACACGGACATACAGTTTTACGCTCTTTTTGTCTACATACGTCTTTTACTTATCTCGTTTGTAATCGTTTTGCAGCCATTCTTATGTGTCTCTCTCTATGTAGTGTACAAATATTAGAGCTTGAGAGCTGCTAATTAAATTATAAACACACAGAAGCGTTAAACAGTCGTCGCCGAGCAGCCAGAGCCAAACCCACGACCCCAAAGTTTGGCCCAGTTCTATTTGCACTAAGACGACGACGAGGAAAGAGAAGTAGCAACTAAAGTAGAAAAGACAGGTGAGCGACAAGAGAGTATAAATGAAAAACAGTGAATTAAAAAAAACTACACCTAGAAGAGTTCAATCAATCAATGAAGCTCAAGCTCAATGAATGATGCATGTGTTTGTTTTTGTTGTTACGCAGCTTTCACCAAATTGAGATCTAGTTTAATTTGGCAGTGGCCACTGCATCTTGCAGCATGTAGAACAAAGAGACCAAAATAAAAACAATATTTACATACGCATTTCTGCAAGTCGTAGACGAACAAGAAGAAAACTAAGAAGCTGCTCGAAATGTCCTTCATAACGAATTTGAAGAAGGTCTTCCACCTCGGCGGCGGTGGCGAGGCGAAAAAGAAACGCCTCTACAATAACATCAAAATGGACACCGACCCAAAGGAATTTTGGGAAATGGTTGGGGAATTGGGCGATGGCGCCTTCGGCAAAGTCTACAAGGCCCAGCACAAGGAACATAAGCGGTTCGCAGCCGCCAAAATGTGCACCCTCGAGGATGAGGAAAATCTAAGTGACCACATGGTCGAAATCGATATACTCTCGGAGATCAAACATCCAAATATTGTTGAGCTCTACGAAGCATTCTCTATCGATGACAAACTCTGGGTGAGTCATAGCAATGAGCATGCTAATGTGCTGGCATTTGTAAGAGGTTAGTTAGGGAATTGACTGTAACAGATTAATGAGTAATGAAAACAAGTTTATACATACTCCATTGCTTGAATCTGAATCGGAATTATTATTGGATTGTAAAAGGGAAAACCACAAACCCCTGAAACTCGAGCTCCAAATTGGGCTGTTTATGTTGGAAAACGGTTTTCATCTATTACATTTACACAGCAATCATGGGAAAGAAACTCTATAGAGCTGCATATAAGGATTGCAAGTCTCTAACAGACATGCAAATATAAATATTGCTAGATGCATAAACGGACAGACAGACGGACTTGATTCGACTTTATGGGTTCTGCCGCGGCCCATTCGGCCTGTTGCATTCATTTTTATAAAAACATACCCTGATTTGCCTTTTCCAAGGGCGGTCTGATTGAAAGACGGTATGAAATGAAAAAATTTAGTTTACTGGGAATACGGAACACATAAAATACTTTCTTACTGGTTATATGCGTTATTAGTCAGTTACTAGTCAGTATTATTCAGTAATTTTATGTACGCATACTAATGCATGTGCTGTATTTAAAATTAATGAGTAAAATGACTGTCTTAACTTTAAAAAAATATAAAATTGAAGCGCCTTTTATTTATAGATGCTCATTGAATACTGTGACGGCGGGGCCTTGGACAGCATTATGGTTGAACTGGATAAGGCATTGACAGAGCCACAAATCGCCTATGTGTGCAAGCATATGACCGAGGGTCTTTCATTTCTACACAAGAACAAGGTCATACACCGAGATTTGAAGGCGGGCAACGTGCTGCTCACCATGGAGGGTGGAGTTAAGCTGGGTATGCTGACTTTAAGTTAAGCGTGTTCTGAATTAACTGTCCTATACTCCTCACATGCAGCTGATTTTGGAGTGTCGGCCAAGAATAAACACACAATGCAAAAGCATGACACGTTCATTGGTACGCCCTACTGGATGGCCCCAGAACTTGTACTGTGCGAAACGTTTCGCGATAATCCATACGATCACAAGGTCGACATTTGGTCGCTGGGAATCACACTTATTGAGCTGGCGCAAATGGAGCCGCCTAATAGCGAAATGTCGCCCATGCGTGTCCTGCTCAAGATACAGAAGAGTGAGCCGCCCAAACTGGATCACCCGAGCAGATGGAGTAAGGAATTCAATGATTTTTTAAAAAAGGCTTTGGTCAAGGTGTGTAAAGTTTATTTCTACCAATGAAAACCAGTAAAACTGATCTGCTGTGCGTATATTTCACTCTTTCAGGATCCCCAGCAACGGCCCTCAACAGAAGTGCTGCTTCAGCATGGCTTCATCAATTGTAATCTGGATGCAAAACCGATCAAGGATCTGTTACTCGAGTACAAGGCCGAAGTTGTCGAGGAGGTCGTCGATGATGAGGCTGAGGTTAGCTATACATTTAACTACTCACTGTGATTTTTTTTGTTGCCAGCACAATTGCACCTGTATTACATCCAGAGCTAGAAAGGACACTAACTCTCTATATTTTGTATATCTTTTTCTTACACGCTGCCTCCTTGCCCCGTCTACTATGCCCAATCAAAACAAAAATCAAAATAACTAACTGTGCGATACATCTCTTTATTTATTTGACTCCGTAAATTTGCCGGGCTTATTTTGTTATCGTTTTCTGCATTATTTATTTTTGTGTGTGTGTGTTTATAAAATTGATTTAGAAGCTCAAACGCCAAGAGAAGCGGCGTTCACTCTATCAGAGGGTTGGTAAGTCGTTCTACAGCAACACCCCGACAGCCGTACCTCCGTCCTCCAGCGCACGCTCTATTTATATTAAAGTTATTTTGTTTTATCAGCATTGCCAAATTTTTATCTTGCTTTTTATAGTCGCCTTCAAGTGGCAGTCTTTTAGTTCTGTTTCTTTTCGGATGTCACCAACACATATATAGATATATGTATTTATTTATATGTCGCATTTTTGCTTCTGATGTTCTTATTTTATACAACGACTCATTGGCAAACAACATTTTTCCACAAAAATTGATTTTAGTTTGAAATGATTTAAATCTGATTTAATGTAATACGTGGGGCTTTTATACTCTTCAGCGAACCATTTTTATAAAACAGTTTACTGTATTTAACTGATGATATATTGTTTTTTGCCTAGGAACCCCGCAACTCGGCGCTCCAGCTCGACCTGGACGATGACTCTGTTTCGATGCAGAGTCAAGACATTGACAAACGTAAGTGTCTATCAACCTTTTCGTATTACGCTTGTTGAGCTTTTGTTTTGCATACGCAGTTCCAGGTACACCTACATCCATTTCGCGGGATTCCAAAGAGCAATCCCAACCAAGTAGCAGTCTACCAGCAGCTGCAGCAGTCGCAGCGGCAGCAACAACAACTACAACAACAACAACAACACCAGAAAAACCAAACCAGATCAAAGAGGAGCATTCGCCAGCAGTATCCGATACAGCCGCTCCGCATACCAAAGTGCCCGCACCAGTGCCGCCAATACCACCAGTGTCGGATAAACAGCAGCAACAAGAACCACAACCTCAACTACAGCCCCAGCCACCAGCTACAGCCGTGCAAAAGAAATCGAGTGAGGACATTGCAGAAACAAATGACAAGTCTGATGCTGAGAAAAAGGTGAGTAGTCCTTTGAAGACTTGCTAATGGCCCAATTTAATTGTCTAAACCGTTGCCATAGCACTTCATCAAAAAAGAAAAAGGCAAAGCGCCTCCGCCGCCATCAGCAGCTGCCGTTGCTGCTACAATTGCCAAGCCACAAAGTACTCCCGCATCGGAAGTGGAGACAACAGCGCCGCCTAAGCAGCCGCCAGGGGCCACAGGCGGCATTGAAGTGACCATTGGACAGGACGGCGGGGAGCCCAAGTCACAGCCACCGTCCCCGACCGCCTCTTCCATCATATCCGTGCAGTCCGTAGCCTCTACGGGCAGCACCTCGGGTAGCGCAACGGGCGCTGTGCTCAGCTCCAGTACCTCGTTGATAACCATCAACAGCAGCGA